CACATGGCTAATGTAACAGAATATTATGGTTTTTCACAACAGCATACCGTATCTCTACCATTCTTAGAGCAACTGCATCATTGTAGAAATCTTCAAGATTGAGTGTAAGACTATAAGGAGAGTGCATTGCAAGAGTAATGGTGGAATATGGCTACTGATGCTTCCAGCACCACACTAACAGTTCTCCACTGCATTTCTAGTCATAATGAAGAAATACTGTACAGTATTTCCTCACCAATTCTGATCATGTAGGGTGGACCCCATTTTAACTTACCAGTAGTTTGTATAACATGTCTAGTTGAAACTAGCTAGTTGAAACTAATTCAATTGGTTATTATTTTTAAGAACCAATTGAATTCATATTCTCAATCGGTACAAATATTTACATTTTTATGGTAGCATCTTCATAGAAATAAATAATGTAATTTAAATTTATAAAATTTAACTGGCCTTAGTAGAGTTGACAGCTGCCTTGATCACCCTCAGATTGGAAGAGATAACTCACTAATTTGGATCGTACGAGGCAAACCCCATATCAGAATTATAAAATCTTGGTTATACAATTTGATTTTTATCTGGCCTATATTTTTTTAACTATTTACCTTACTTAGTTCTTCCTGCCAGGGAGCTGTCATCTGTACAGATATCAAATCACAAGCTTGCTCAAGCAGGTGCACAGAGTTCTTCAAGAAAGCATACTGATCGATCTTTCCACTTTGAGCGGTTTCTTTTTTGCCTATAATTAGTGAAGCACTGTATTTTCTTGGCAATGTCATTATAGCGGGAAGGGTCTGACAATCTCAATAGCAATTCAATTCTTAGCACTTTGTTCCTTTATCCTGCTTTTCATACTGCACAGGCTTAGTCTTTACTGTAAACTCTTATGTTTTTGTTGTTGCAATAAACTTATATTTCATACAAGCTCAAATTCTACTTAATTTTATATGTACTGTATAATGGGTTACTTGATTGTAAGATACCCATCAGCGATCGTCCTCTGATGTAGAGTGACCAATGGGGTAGCCTCCAACTGCTTCATGAGGGCCTCTGGATTAACATGAAAAACCAGATATGACAAGGCTGATCTCACTGAGACCAAAGTACTGTACTGAGCAAATTGGAAGACAGTAATCTGGAACACGCCTTTAAAAGGCCCAGTGTATCTCATAAAAGGAACAGCAGCTTAAATAATGCCTTGGAATTGCCTATCCACTGAAATCATATAAATGCCAAGATACTACTCCAATTCACAATCTAACCGAAAAATCTTTAGATGCACTAAGGGAGGTCTTTGACAAACTGCCGGCTTCCTGTCCTCATCGAGGTTACTTTCGTCAACTAATTTAAGAGTGGAAAACAGTACGAACCTGTAATCGATTATCTGAAGTCAACCATTATATTATTTGATTACGCTTGAGGCTTTCTATTGTCAGGGACAGGAAGCCTGGTATATTTTTCTGTGAAATGTCGGCTTAATGTTTGTTTTAATCATTATTTGCATCTAGTATTAAGTCGTCCCAAAAATTTAGTATGTGAACCAAACATTATTATTTTTATTACGTGTCTGAAATTGTAAACTATAGCTTATAAATTATTACAAATCTGAAATTGTAAACTATAGCATATAAACCTTTAAATTCTCAGCACATATATTTTATATTAATGATACTGCAATAATAATACCTAATGACATTATTATTAGTTCGCTGTTTGTACTTATATAGTAGCCTTGTGAAACATACTACAAACTGTTACATTTCATATCTTTTACCGATAAAGAATCTAATCTAATCTTAATTCTCACCACAGCAGAATTTCCGGAGATAGTCTAGGTGGCATACAGTACGTTGGTTTATAGGGTACTAGTACCAGGTCGACCCGGTACGTGAGTGTCCAACCTACCTGATCCTCAGGTCCACCCAATTCATGGGTGCCTTGGGCTATCTGGTGTTTGGATGCCCGGGTCTACCTGGTGTTTGGATGCCTGGGTCTATCCGGTGCTTGGGTGCCCAGATTGACCAGGGCATCTAGAGGTCATACCTATATAATGCTGAGAAATTTAAGTACTCTACCAACCAAATTCCACCAATTTCATGAGGGGTCACCATGGGAGCTGACTGCCTTTTAATGGGAGCAAATGGGCCACCCCAGATCTGCCCATGTTGATCACCTACACTACATTAGTCACCATGCAAAGTTAGTTGAGGCTAGCCCCAGGCGTTTGGCTTCCAATCTTGGACAAACAGAGGCAGACAGGCAGTCTCTTACAAATATAGTTGTATAGGAATCCATCTGGATACATACATTATTTTGGAGAAAAGGCACTCTGAGTGGTCAATAAACTACTGTGCACAGGATGAGTTTTTTTTTCTGAATTTACCTGTGTAAGAATTTACCCTGTGTAAGAATGAAAAACGGTTCACACACGACTCATAACTGATTTCGTTCAAACACTTCCGGAACAAGTGCTTCACTGACAAATTTTGTTCGAACCACATTGCTGTAAATGTTTCACCCCACTTACTACAAATATAAATAATTGCAAACAGAACCAAAACACCTAACCTAACCTATGCCTATATATGTACAATATGCTAATATTTTATATTAATTTATATTTGAAAAAAATTGTTTTGAATGAACAGCATGTAAAAATTGATAACTGCGTCTGTGGGGTCAACCGCTGGATGTAATGGACTTGAGTAGAAGACGGGTTGGAGAATGAACCCTACTGTACTACCAGGACCCTTATTCCATATATGGGCATATGAATTAAATTAATAAATATTAAATTATTTGTAAGCGCTCGGGTAAATAAAGAATTGGGTAGCAGCCTGACTGCTGTGTACCTAAGCTTGTTAAAAAAAAAATTTACATTTTTTTTTTTGTAGTTTAAATATAGATTCCCAAATATTCTATTATATTTTTTTAGTAGTCTATATTATAATGTAGTGATTATTTCCATTATCATCAATAGAAAACTGTGTATCATTTGCAAAACTGTTTTAACTTTACATACATATATTGCATATACACAAACACACAATTGATTACACCTCATGATAACGTATTACCGCAACTGTCACAAGTGGTCAAGAAATGTACAGTATTTCATTCAAAATGACGTACACGGTACGACTATCAGAAATCTTGGCCACATTCCAAGGTTGCCTACTGACGTAGGTAGCAGTGATAGTGCGTGCATGATTCACTGCTGCCGCCCGCGCCGCCGGCTATCACCACAGTGTATAAGCCCTCCACCCCCGCCCACTGGATGGCTGCATTCTACTACCTTTTGTGCCCTCTGTAATGCTTTTTGCGCTACCGCTCACAGGATGGGTATGGGGTGCACAATAAACTAGCGCGGGCATTTTAGTGTGTCAGTTTACTGACGTTGTCAACGCTCCAGAAGACGAAACTTTTGATTAAATTTAATATTAATTATAAAATATTTGCAACTGCAAGTTGGATGGGAAAGTTGCAACTGCAGTTGCTAGTAATTTGCAACTGAAGCTGCTGGAAATTTTTATGTAGCTTCGCGGTTGCTAGAAAGTTGCATCTGTAGTTGCTAGAAGTTTGCAACTGGGAGTTGCAGCCTATGGTGTGCATGCACAGGGATACATGTTAAGTGACCTTAATACCTATACTTGTATACCTATTCTACGTAAGTAGGGGCACATGCACCCGAACATAGTAGTACGTAAATAAAGTATACAAGGATAGAGAAATAATCCAGAATTATAAGTGGTGCACTTAATAATAACAAAGGAAATAAAACCCTATTCGTGTTAGTGGCTTTGCAAGAATGTAAAAATATCACTAATGTAATCTCACCAACTCATTGTACCTTCTTGCAAATAAAATATTATTATTATTATTATTATAAGGAGGCTTATCGTCTAGGCACAATTACCCTAAATAATTAACATTACTAGTTACCAGCAATTACCCACATGCATACATAAACCTTGAAAGAGTATGCATGATGAATATGTATACATGCTTACAACGATCGAGATTTAAAGAAGTCCTGGCAAGTATATATATGAACTGAAACATAATAAAGTTGTGCCGGATGCAGGCAAGGGAGGGGGGGGGCGACGTAGCCCCCAACCCCCTCCAAACTCCCCCAACCCGGCCCTATCCTGTTTCTATATTATGTCGCACTATTAAGTATTTCGTGTTTGTACTCACTAATTCTCATAAAGTATGACTATCAAACAAATAAAGAAAAAAGCATCAATCATGTATTTATCAATTTAAGAAGTTAAAACGCTTAGTGCTCACAAAATACAACCAGTGAGAAGTTTCACAATAGTTTCCACAAAGGGTCAGGTGTGAGATGTTTTCTGGAGTCTGAAACAACTCTTGTGTCATCTGCCGATCTGTGGTACCGTAGCCATGAAGTATATGGCTCAGGATTGTCAGTAAGTTGCATCTGCACTGGAATCCTTAGTATATGGCTCAGGATTGTCAGTAAGTTGCATCTGCACTGGAATCCTGAGTATATGGTTCAGGATTGTCAGTAGGTTGCATCTGCACTGGAATCCTGAGTATATGGTTCAGGATTGTCAGTAGGTTGCATCTGCAGTTGCTAGTAAGTTGGATCTGCACTGGAATCCTGAGTATATGGCTCAGAATTCCACTCTAGAGGAGGAGAGGAGACAAGAGAAGGTCCATGTAGTTTAACAGACATAAGTGCTGATACATGATTTATGAGAATTCTTGAGCGTGTTGATGTCATTATCAGGATCATGTGCCTGAATCCCCTCTCACACTCAGCAGTACTATTATGAATAACTTTTAACAGCTCAGTAATTGGTGTAAATCTTGGGGGATCCTCCAAATAGTCTCTAAAAGGCATTTAGTGCAGAGTAAGAAGAAAGCTTATATCTCATACGGAGAGATAATATTTCAGCTTCTCCGTAATTAGGTGGTATTTCATCAGGCCAGTAGTCTTTTTTAATGACACATTTTACTTAACAGTGATTTATACATACTTTGAGGTTCAGAAGTTTGAGAGCCTTTCATGGATATTGTCGTGAACATGCGGTGCTGCAACTTGTTCACAAGACTAGTAAGAAACTGTTGATAACTATTGGAGACAATTTTCTTGTGGCTTGTTATAGTAATTCCTTAAAACTTCTCCTTTTCAACTGCCTTTTGAGCTTCTAATGTTCTAGTGCCAGGTTTCTCTTCTAGCCCATGCAATGGATGACATGCTCCGTTGAATCAGTTTGTCTGCATACACAATCGAAGTAGTGGATTTCTGTAGACACTCTGACAGTAAACCAAGTTCATGCAACGTGTCATACATTAGAGCTAAATCCAATAATAACTGTTTAAAAGCTAGCATTTTCAACAGACTTTTTAATAGGTTTTTCTATCACTTCCAAATCTTGTTTCATCTTTCACTGCTTTTTCCAAATGAAAACAAAGTGCTTCATAATTTTTCCACACTTGAAACTGTTCGAAACGAGCTGGCTTAACTTGTCATACTCCTTATCTTGCTCACCATTCCCCAGCAGCGTATGCTGATATGCTGCCAGAATAGTATGCAAGCACTGCTAGCATATCAAATCTGCCTCAAAATATACACTTGCTAGTATCAATGGTAGTAGGGGTTTTAATATTACAATGCCTGTAGTGAAATGGGCCCAAATGATGTGAATGACATCTCTCTGTTTGAGCTTGAAACTGCGCTCAAGAAGGCCAGAGCAACTGCTAGAGTCGGTGGCACAACTCGTCCTCTTAAAAATAACGCCGCTTTTCGCTCGTGTGCGCTTTATGGCCAAAAATGGACGTAATTTTAAATTAAATCGACTCACGAAACTGATGTACTGTCCCGTTTTCTATTGGAGTCCTTACTCGGAAAGGTTAGGAAATGAAATTTTCAAGTAACGTTTTAACACTTTAGGAGAATTTCCTGCCCTCCTAACCTACCAGAGGACCCTTAACTTACTGTTTTGAAAAAAATCCCATTTTTTTTATTTTCACATTACGTCCATTTTGGCCATACAGACAAACGGCCAAATTCAGACATAATTTGTAAGAGTTACCCCCCGCTTCTTGCCTGCATACTCAATAACCCACAGTTAGAACTGTACAAAGTCTACGGCGAGGTGTCCTACCAGATCGCTGGACGCAGGGCCTCATGATCCCTATACTTAGCCAAACTCGAACCATTTACGGCCTGTATCTCTAGCTTCGTGCATGTGCAAAGTCCTAGGCAGGAGGACTGTTCTCAGTAGGTTAGCGGTGCGTGATTTAGCTTAAGAATCTCCCTTCAAAGAAACCCTGGGTGATTATAGATTAGTTTAGATTTTTTATTCAGGTAAACGTACATACATTGGGTTACATACATAATGTTGGATTTAAAGATAGAGATAGTACATACAATACCTAAAGCCACTAGTACGCATAGCGTTTCGGGCAGTAACTTTGGATTGCCTGAGGTCGATCTCGAACCCATTGATGATGTGACGACGTATATTGAATTGTAACTAGCTCATCAGAGATTGTAACTTGCTTAGCTAAATGAATTGTGGGGTTCAGTCCCTGAGTCCATTATGTGCCTCTGCAACCCTTTCCACTACCGCCCACAAGATGGGTATGGGGTGCATAATAAATGAACTAAACTAACTACGCTTTGTCCTGGGTTCGTATCCTGGCTGGGGAGGATTTACTGGGCGCAAATCCTTAACTGTAGCCTCTGTTTAACTCAACAGTAAAATGGTTGTTAAACGATTCCTCGCGGGGGCTTGTATTCCGGGGAACATAGGATTAAGGACCTGCCCGAAATGCTACGCGTACTAGTGGCTGTACAAGAATGCAACAACTCTTGTATAAAAAAAAAAATGCTTTCTGAGAACAATAAATGAATAATACGCCATGAACGTCATCAGGCAGTAACAAAAGACTCACGTAAGTAGCTTACTAGATCTTCAAGCTGTTTTTGACACAGCTAATGGGGAACTCATCCTGGAACAACTAGCTATTTTTGGAGTCAAGGGAGAATTATTGTCAAAGATTAAGGTGAAACAACTTTACTTCGCGTCACTTCTTCCAAAATTCTGTCCATATTAGCGCAGACAGTTAGCATTTTAGCCTCAGTTAACCGTCTTTACGGTCCATACATGGGCCACAGTCAAGCAAGAATTCGGTAACCTCGTACCCCACACATCCGATAAGGGCTACTCATATCCGTGCAATCTCTGGGTGGCTTAATCTTCATCAATCACTCACCACGTGCGGGCACGTACATTCTACCCTTAAGCTAGGGAATTATCCCCACCTTAAGACGGCACACACAGCCCGCCTATTTTATATAACTGTTTTGTGTTGTAATTTTACCTATTAACTTTACACTTTTATTCCTTCACCTGGCAAATTCTTGGTCATTTCTCAGAACTGTTGTTTCCATCCTCCTAATAGAACGTCGCATTAGGACGTATATTTTACCCATGGCAAAAAATCGTCATACTAGAAAATGGAAGCGGCTCGCGAAATTTTCATACTGTTGCGTTTTCTGTTTTGGGTCCTCTGGTAGGTTCGGAGAGAGCCCTTTATTACGACAGTTTCTTGACGTTGGGGAACCTTAGACGGACGGGCTGGTTAAATCCCCTCCCCCTCCCTCCCCGGCGGAGGCCTAGCCTACCATGCTTTCTTTCCATGGGGGTGCCAGCTAGCAAAAAGGACAAATAATTAATTCAACTTTAGTATGTTATTATAAAAGTATGTTATTATACATGTAGTTTTCGGCCAACGGCCACGTTATGCTCGTGTTCTGATGCTCACTCTTACAGGTCCTCATGTGCCAGACGCATTAAGGCCAGACTTAGAGATTATATAGGGGGTCACAGATGTGAAAAGGATACACTAGAAGCTAAATGAGATCAGTGTATATCTTTCTTTTCAGTCGCTTTAACCACTGTTATAATTTGGGGGGGGGGTCGAGGGGTAGCAATTGATCTCTTGAATTGAAGCAACGCTCGTCTTAGAGCGTTGTACACTTTCATTATTTTTTTTTAATTCCTCACATGATTTAAATGGCCTGTTCTCCATACTGTACTAACCCCCTCCTCCTTCCCCCGGCGGCCGGCCTACCTTTCTCTTCTCAAACAGCCGGTCATTTCTGCCAGCGTTCGCGGCAGAAATCCGCTCTTACAGATCCAAGATCCTCACATGCCAGAAGCCGCCGCGGTCCAGCGAGTTAGGGCTTTTGGAGATGTCAACCTGAATACTACGCCAACCGAGACTTTTGGATTTTGGGCTGCAGTCCGGAGGTTGGGAGGGGGTCTCTGCCTCCTTCTCCTCCCTTTTACCGTTACCACGTGTTACCCCGGAAGCCCCCACCTCACCACTGGAATGTCTGCGGCCCCAGTCGACATACTCGAGACCCACAGCCTACGCTTCCAATTACGTTCTTGGCTGCCTTGCAACCATCACGTGGAGGCTAGATGGAAGCAGTTCACTACGTGACACGTCATGCAAGATCAACCCAACTCAGCAACCTCAAAACTTGTGCCAAATCCCTGCAGTATTTTCCGTAGCAGGATTCTCAACTACGCACCCGGCCTCTGCTCGTCCGTAGTAGGTTTAGTTAGTTTAGTTCATTCCGTAGTAGGATGGCCTCCGTTCGCATCAACAACCTCGCGAGAACATCACAGGACCCTTCCTCTCCAGGAAGATGATGATAAGGGTCCGCAAAATCATTTCCTCCTCGGGCCCTGGACATGCATCGCCTCCCGACACCACGCGACCTCCTTCACAGCTTCTTGGGCACCTTCCGCAGCCCTACGGGAGTTATCAAGATACAAGGACGTCGAAGAGAGATGGATTTTAACACCTACTTTCGCTCAGGGAACCGCTGTACCTCTCCCAGACGTCCACGTGGGAGCCCTCTTTCATCCCTTCCTCCGGCTCGTCCCTCTTTGTTTATGGGGTTTCCCCGCCAGCTCAGGGTGGAGGAGGCTCTCGTCGGATCTCCATCCCGTACCCCCATTTTAGCCTTCTTTTTATGTCATCTGCACTTTTAACTTGCCCATCTACTTACAATTTCCCCAATCTTAACTGCTATATAGGTCCTTAACCCCTCCTCACTCTCTCACACATTATTCTCATTATATAATAGTTTACGATCACTGATCCAGTATACGTAACTTCTGGTAGCAAATAATAATAATAATAATAATAAAGATGAGCTTTCTCATGTTAGCCAATTAATCCTTAACCCACATGTCCTCGAAAGCTGTTTACATTCAAAGCAGAAATATAAGTACTTCTCTATGATGCACGCACGTGTGCAACTTGTACCATATTAAATCGTGACAAATAACTTTTGGGTCCTCTGTATTTTTTTTATAAAATATTTGCAGTCCCGTGGTGCAGTGTTAACACACTCGGCCGGTGCTGCGCGAGGGCCTTGGCCTAATTCTTTCTACGTATCCTGGCCGGGGAGGATTGACTGGGCGCCAATCCTTAACTGTAACCTTGTTCACCTTAAACGATTTGGCGGGTTGTATCCCGGGGAAAATTAGGAAGTGGCTTTACAAGAATGTAACAATTCTTGCATATATATATAAATAAATAAATACAAATATTACATAGTATCCAATATAACCACTGACAATCTGATGTAAAACATTGTAAGACGATTCAACTATTGGTACCTCATTATTTCTACAAATCCATATTAATATCTTAGTATCATGGCGGCAAGACGTGTTATAGAGGTGAGAGGTGTGAAATGCATCGTTGTGCGAGGTCGGTGAAGTAGGATGATGGCGCAAGTCAGGGATGGTCTCCCGTCCCATCCCATCCCTTCCTCTCCCACTCCCCCAGGGAGGGCGTCCCCGGCCCCCTGGCGGCGTCGTCCCCAACCTTTCAAGATCACCCTCTCCGATTCCATTACTCAGACTTTTTTATCTTTTAATAATATCGAATTTATTCACGCTTTCATATGATTAAATCTCCTAAATATAAATAATAATAATAATTTAAGAATTAAGTATAAAGTTTTCTCATTAGCTGACCGTATTATGTATTAAAATGTAATATTTGATGGGAATGGAAGCCAACAGTGGAGGGGTTGGGAGGCGCTGGTGAGGATTCACCGGTAGTGGGCTCCTAACGCCAAGGACACATCCAGGCTGACAGTGGTGGGTGCTTGAGCCTCCAGTTGACTCCAGTACCTTCCAGTTGTGCTTGTCACTGCTCCAACACCCGTCGTACCAGCTGCACCCACCTCTATACTCCCTGCCGAGCTGTCACTTGCGGCTCTGATCACTGTCTTACGGAAGTTGAGACAGACATTATCTCACTCAAGGTTAATATAGTGATAATATTTCCCGTAGGTTTTTAACTTAGAAGTAAGTGATGTCAACGCCTGGTTAGATGTCACCAATTAGGGCAAGGAATTTGTGACTTCGATTATGTTTTCAGATTTGTGGTATTGAGCGTTTTGAGGCATATATGTGAGGCGGTTATGAGGAGGGACTCATGGCTGACCTCATGTCATCAACGGGAGGGACGGGGAAATTCCCTGAATTGATGCTGTAACTTCCGGTGATGTCGGCACGTCTTGTCGACGTCCAGTTGGCCGGTGACAATGTTATAATTTTGGAGGCGGGAGTTGATGCACCCTGAATAAGACTAGGGACCAAGAGCTAGAGCTCCTCCCCCACATACCAGAAATATGGTCAGGCTTCAAAGTCCCGGACCCACACCCCCCCACTTTCCTGGGGTAAACTGTATACCATGTTAAGAATTAAAATATTTATCCAAATGGTGTAAACTTTTGACTAATTTTGTATCTATATAGTGTATGTTGAACACCCGTTGATAATGGTACTTGCTTCTGGGGGTAAACTGCAATCCCTGACTTTGAGGGCCACCATCTGTGGAGACCTTGAACAGGAAGCTGGCAGCTTGTCAAAGGGTTCCCCTTCCCTATTTTTCCTAAATTTATCCAGCTGGATTTTGAACTGAAGTGAAGTCTTGGCATTTATGGCTTGGTTAGATAGGCAGACGGTTCTGTGGGTTCACCCAAATTTACCCAAGAGCCGCTAACACACTGGTGGCCTCGACGAAGACGAAGCTGGTGGCTTGTCAAAAGTAATCCCCCCCCCCCCATTGATGATTTTTTTTTTAAAGCTGGATTTTAAAGTTCAATTTTTTTTGGCGTTCTTTTGGCGTTTAGAGCTTTTGCAGGTAGTAGGTGATTCCATGAGTTTATAACCCTGTGGGTGGAAAAAGCATCTCCTGTTTTCAGTTATACATTGTGGGTTGAGTTGGAAAACCGTTCTTTGTATAGGTTACATACAACGTCCTAGTTAGGACAGAAATGGTTGGGAACATTCCTTTCATCTAATGCATCTGTTCACCTAGCAGTAAGTAGGTACTCTGGAGTTAGCTTGTGGGGTTGCATCCTGGGTGGGGTCGGTAATTTGACCTAGGGGTCAATATATATATGTATGGGTGGGGGCTCAATATAAACCTAATCTGTGAATACATACTCACTTCCTGTCCCCTGACACAATTATTATTTTAAAGAAGTGGTCTGGATCAATATCCTTCCAAATTGTTCAGTATTTTGTATCAATGAGATCAACCTCCATCATGTCTGGTTTGCAGTGATGGTCCTGTGACCCTCAACCATTCCTAGTTTGAGACTCAAATTGGTTCTTGGATGAATTTTATTGCTCTGCATTGTACTTTCTCCAAAGCAAGTGCATGTATGTCCTTCTGAGGTTAAGGGGTCTGCTTGGATTCAGTAGTTTAAATGGGGGTACACCAGAGATTTGTGCATTCTACTACTAGCACAGATTTAAATAATTTACTTCGGAACTCAATGTTGCTAATATAAGCTTGCTAAAGGCAATAAAAAAAATTGAAATACTGTACCAGAACATTTCTCGTGAATGAACTGAGGCGAGGCAGATTTGATCCATAAAAGATATTGTTTGATCCATCAGTCCCCAGGCAACCTCCCCCAAGGAAAACAAATATAATGGGCAATCATTGCCGACCAATTCCATATGTTGTAACTATAATTATAGATGGGTGCGAATGTTACATTTAAACTCTGGGTCTTGTATAAATATTCACACTTAATTTATTAATTTTAACAGGCCTATGATGATTATTTGTAAACAATTTGATATAAAAATGATTGAGCATTATTGAAACGAAAGAAGCAGTAAGATGGACATATTTCAAACTGGGGAGGGAGGGAGGGAGGCATCCTCAGCTTCTCCCCTCCCTCCCTCCCAACAGTCTTGGTGTGCCATGTGATGCCAATCAGCTGGTAGCTGCTTCATTGTGCTGGGAGGCAGGGACAGCACATCTTCAAATTTCACTTGAATGGAAGTGTAATACAACTATTGAATACAATCTTCAACATTATGATTGCTCCAGTAAGACATCTTGCTTAAAAAAAAAGGGGGGGGGGTTAATTGCAGCATAGACAATGTGATAATAGATGGCAACATCTGATCAAGAGAACCAAACAGCAGTGGTGTTTTGAACAGGTGGGGAAAAAATAAAAAATTTCTTAGAATGTGTATGCAAAAAAGTATGGAAATGCAACAAAAATTTTTTCTTCTAAAAGATGCCTTGTGCAGAATTGGAAGGGTAGGCTATGGGTTGAGGTAGGTGGACTAGTCTACACACTTTCTGATATTTATTTTTCTATGTTTCACTTCAGTTTACAGTGTGGAATAAGTCATTGCACACATTGAGTAATTGAAAATTGTGTACAGCTCTATGCACACCAGTATTGCATGCAAGTCTGTTCCAGGCACAGTTAATGTCTTGCAACCCAATCTGCTATTTTGTCTGGTAAAGTTATCCAGGAATATTCAAAATGCCAGTGGGAAGTTCTATATTGTGACTTGTCCCCATGCTGGTGGAAAAAAAAAAGAGCCTCCTATAGCAAGTCATGAAAGACAATAGCAGAATTTTGAGTATCTTAACTCTTACATCCATATAGATATGGTAGAGGTACTAGTATAGCCATGTTTGAATTTGTATACAAATTGGGTTATAAATAAATCCTAACTGCACTACCCAGGAGATCGACACGACTGTACTCTTAACGATTAAGGACAGAACATTTGGCCAAAATTGATAGTGAATAAATTTTTACCTTAAATTTGCCTAGATTATTATTTTGGTTAAACATGCACAAGAAAGGAAAGTTTCTAATTTTTGTTTAACATTAGCTTAATACTTAACTTTTCATTAGCGTACAGTGCATTAAAGGTTGATGGTATTTTTGTGGTATAGTTCTATTTAAAGGTGCAGATGCATTAGGTTATCTTCAAAGTGCCAAAACCTGGATTCAGGCAGTTGGCTGTATTTAGAAGATTGCCTGTTAAATTGTTTGTAATTGTCTGAGCTATTTTGTATCCATGACCAATTAACAGGCTCTGCAGATACTTTTTTTTTTTTTAGATATATACAAAAGTTGTTACATTCTTGTACAGCCACTAGTACAAGAGATACTATGTACAGATACATTGATACCTCCCCAATGCTGAAAGTTCTGAAATTGGAATATGCCATATAGTACTGTATTGTTAAATAACAAAAAAATAAAATTATAACTATATGGGCAAAATTGGACACCTGCACGTATGAAACTTCACGGTCTGGTTGTAGTATAGTGTTGCCAGGAGGAAGTGTTGGGCTATAACAAGCCTTACACACATTGGTTATGTGGATAGTTGCCAAGTCTGATAGTTTAGATCATTCAGTAAGGTAATTCATTCTAGATGGCACTTATTGGGAACTTTACTGGAAAGGAAACAATTTTATTGTTGTAGACAATTTCTGTTTAGATAATTTTCTTTGTTGCAAATAATGCTCATTGGGGTGTTGAATGATGGTACAAAGCAAAAAGTTTAGTCGTTATTATTGTTAATCATAGTCTGCACATATGTTACCTGCTTGGTACCTGCTGGATGGGGTTCTAGTTGTTCTCCCCAAGCCTGGCCTGAGGCCAGGCTTGACTTGAGAGCTTGGTCCAACAGGCTGTTGCTTGGAGCGGCCCACAGACCCACACATCCACCATATCCCGGTTGGTCTGGCACTCCTTGAAGAAAACTCTTGATGTCCCTGGTTACAGTTGGTCTTGATGCCAAAAGTGTTGCCAAGATGTTTATAGTGTTTTTCTATTCAGCTTGGCGAGGAACCTAATTTTAAAATGGTTCTAATTCTGTAAAGAAATTATGGGCAGAAAGTATTAAGCCTGTATAACTCTTTAGCCCTCTCCTAGTTCTGTAGGGATTTGGCAACATAACATTAGGGTGCATAGTAGGGTGTGGGAGCAACCTACTTGTGGCATGTTGCCATGAGGGAAGACCTACATGTTCTATAGCCTGACGTAACAAAGCTGCTGTTGCTGCTGCTGAAAATAGTTTCTGCTCGAGGTGGGCAAAACGTTCGTTTTCCCTAGGAATAAATGTGTATTGCCAGGTGATGAATTGCTTGATAAACAAAGCTTTGAAAGAATTCTACAGTAATTTAAGGCATTTGGAGCTATCCATTCCACATAATGTCTTTGGTGTATGTTGGCAAGACTGTAAGGCTGACATTCACAAGGTCACTTGGTGCCCTCTGCTGCATCTGGGTGATATTACTGTCTTCAGTAGAGGGCAGTACAGGTGGTGTGAGGGTTGTGTGTCGAGTGGTCTCTGCTCAGTGGGTACTTGTACCAAGACTCCCTCATTTCTTGAAATAGAAACTGGCCATTCTTCATTCAAAATGGATGAGGTTAGTTGTTAATACTGTACATGTTTTGTGTTAGTGACTCTTCTCCTGCTTAAAAGTTTTAATCCCAAAAGTTAAATTTGTGAAATTTTTAAAAACATCTTTGCTATTCATTCTGCAATGCATGATTGTTTTTGTTTTACCCCTTAGCAATTCAAGGTTAGAGATGTGGTGCTTTTGTGATGCTGAAGAATTCATGGGTTGTTAGTTTCACAGAGGAACATAGAGGTTCAAGGGATAAATTTAAATTGATTCTATAATTGGATGGCGGTCAACTTGGCAGGGGCTTGATAGGTACCCAACAAAATGCCAGTCTTGTGACCCCCTACAGTAATTGAAGAGAGAAATGTGGAATCCTGAAGATGTCCATTGATCCTGGAATAAATGTATGTTCACAGTGTATGTTGTGGTTCAGCCTCTCGTACTAAATCATAGTGACACAGTATCTGCTAACATAGGTAGCAAGATTTGACTTCTGGAGATGTTGTGTAATCAACTCTTAATGCCACCACTCTTTGGAAGGTTGACTTGTTTCTAGCCTAAGGAGCGTGGCTTGCAGCTCTCTTAATAGGTGTTAATTATATAGTGAATTGCTGGTGGAGAATTGAATTGCTGGTAGTTTTGCCCATGCTAAAATTAGTAGGTCTTAGTTTAAAACCAGCTCTCCTAAATTCCTGAAATTGCTGAACATATTAGTGTTTAAATTATTAGTGGATTGACTAAATGTTGGATTTTGAAGATTGGGGAAGAGATTCAACCTTCTTATGTTGGCAGACCTCTTCAAAATATTTTGAACAAGCCTCACCCTATAATGAATTTAAGATTACAAATTCCTGTGTATTTTCTTCTTGCTTTTGGAACCCAGGTTGAAAGACGAACCTAAGCAGTTACCAAGAGCCCATCCAAATGCAGTCATGTTAATGTACAACCCAATCTAAATATAATTTACAGTACATTATAGTGTACAGTGTATAAAGTATTTAATTGCCATATGAATTTTTATAATGCCAATAATATCAAATACTCAATGTAAGTACATAATTATCAAAATGTATGTGGAAGTGTCAAAGCCACAAATTCTATGCCTTTTGAACAAAAACAATTACCTATCGAAGGGACCTAATGAATTGAACAAAATTGACAGGCATTGAATTGGCTATTCCTCCTAAAGTTTCTTAAATTGAGGTCACACTACTTGAAGTACCACGGCTCAATTTGGTACCTGTACAGGTACTTGATTCAGATAGTCATACCATCTAGTGAAGGTCACTCGTGCACCTGCAACACAAATGAAGTGGCTATATTGTATTCTTCAAATGTGCTGTATTTTATATTCTTGTTGTGGTATTATAGGAGAATGCAAGCAGGAGATTCTATTGTAAACTAATTGCTATATGGTAATTTAACATTCAATGTGCAAAATGGCTGATAATACTTTGCCTTCCAAACACCTTTTAAATGAGGTGTTTGGAAACTGTTTAAATAATACCCAATGGGATCTGATTTAAACCTTAATGCCCTTAGTGTGCTACTGTTTGCTGGATAATTACAGAATGTGGTGCATAATAAAAACTTGTCGAGGAATCTTGAGTTAATAACTTTAGCAGATTATCATAGTACTATACAGTATACTCGTATGCTATACTGTATATCTTTGGCCAGGTTTCAGGAAATGTTTTTGGTTTCACTGCTGCAAGCATTAATATTGTAATGGAATAAATTTTGTAACGGGTTTAAATATTAGATTTGATGAAAAGCAAAAATATGCAATTGTCTGAACTCTCAGTAAAGTTGATTATATATATGGGCAGGAATAATGGTGTGTGTCAAGTAGAAAGTTATCTTTTCTACAGAGAAATGTTAGTTTTCTTTGTTAAAAATGCTATGGCAGATTTTTGTAGCAAAAGAAACTTGCTATGGGATAAAGAAGTCTAATGCACGCATGTGCAAAATGGCTACCCATCTTCGGACAAATCTGTTTTAGTAACCAAACGTTGATGGAAATGACCAATGGTTTTTGGTATCAGTAGTGTAAATTCCCTCTGTGGTAGGGAGAGTGCAGTATTGATTTTGTAGTGGGATGTGGGCGTATACAGCTTTGAAATGTTGTTAGGATTTGCTTTTATTTATTTATTTAGCTATATTTAGTAACTTGTTAAAATTTTCAACTGTACTCTATTGAATCTTGCTTATGAATTGTGTAAGGTTTGATTGAATTGTGTAACCACAATGAATGTGAAGGGTTTCCTGGCTGCCCTTTATAAAAAGAAAAAAAAATGTATATATATATCCATAACTATATTATAATAATTATATAATTTATATCTAGCCCCTAGCACTCTTAAACTCTTGCTGGTAGATACTAAAGGAATTGGCCTTGAAGGTCTTGTGAGAAATGTGATATTGATCCTTGCCTCAGCGACCATAACAAAACACAACTTGGTGAAAGTGACATCTGTGGAAGCAATGGTTTTGTGTTTTTGATAAACTTGTGACTTGGAATCTAGTGGAATGTTACATTTTGTAACCTAAACGTTCATAAAGTCATTTAAAAGAAAAGCTGGCCAGAGCATACTGTTTTGCCTGGATAGTTGTGGATACGTGGCATTCAGATACATGTTATGGGTTAAAATGTAATGGTGGATTAATAGCTCAAAACCTATCTCTGTACTTGGTGCCCTTAAAACCCCCAGTAGATGAAACATTTGTAATGGGAGGGGTTTGTTCCTGGAAGCCTAAAAATCCTCGGGCTGTAAGAAGTGTAGTGCGGTCACGACGAAATGAATCTTTGTCCAGCAAACAGGGCAACTCGGGACAATCACAACAAGAACAATTCGCCTCAAGTTCTGCCATGGCTGGTGGTAGTATAGGATTGTTAGAGACCGAGCTCTCGCGTTGTTGCCAGGTGAGCTATGAAATTGGCAATAGGTAAGCAGGAAATCTTCTAAGTGTCCAGCATCACCTATTCACCAGTGCAAAATTTCTTGATGCTCTGGTAGAAGATCTTGATGAATTATAACAATTCCCACAGTGTAATCTTTTCAATTTGCATTGGCAAATTTTGTGGACATGTGAACAAACTGGTTTACTATACAAAAAGTGCAGTTTGGCATTCCTAGGTTCTCGAGAGCATTGTTTTTCCTCTTGACCTTTTACTGTGATAAGTGAGGATGGCCACTTTACGAAGGTCGTACATTACAAGTGTTGCCTGATGCATAAAAATGTTTAAACCTGACAAGGGTAGGAATTTTTCTAACTTGGTATAATGTTTTTATGCAGTATATTTACATGAACTCCAAATATTAAAAAGATTTTTTATAAAATTTGTAAGTACTGTACTATTCAATTAAAAGGTTGGTAGTGACTATGTTGAAGTTTCCAAAAGTTCTTTCACCATCGTAACGTTCAGGCATGTCCTGGCATTCTCCAGAATCTTGGGCTTTACTGTCAAAATTAGCAATGGTAATTGTTGCAAATTGTTATAAGAAACCTAAATTTTAAATCTGAGATCGGTATTGTACCTGGTTTTTTAAAATTGGGTTTTCTTTTTTCCTGAACCAACTAATCTTTTTTTTTTTTTTTTATTGAGCAGTGTTTTTGAAAATGCTGTATAATATATCGGATGTTGTATAGTGTTTCTGCTGCAGTATTTCCTTTGTTCCTGATTTATTACTTCCCATAAAGATAACCTAGCTATGTATTACATAAATGTAATTTTTAGATGTACAGGGGATTAACTTGACACTTTCTTATATTTTCCAGATGAGTAAGGTACGACCAATGCAGCTTGAAGCTGCCAATGCCTACTCCCAGGTAGACCATATGTGTGCTCTGGACATAGACTCCCGCCCCTTCTCACAGCGGTTGTCTGGAATCATTTGCACCATTGGTAAATATTATATTGATTGCTTATTTCTCGTTATATAAAGTGTGGTATTCTCTTCATTCAAATACTAAAAAATAATTTTTTTGTATTAAATTTTGGGTATTTACCTTGTCTAGTTGTACTCCTGGAGGATGAGCTAAGGCTTCTTGTCCCTGCACACCTCTGTAATCTGTCGGGCCTGTATTTGTACATGCTGGATGCTGTGTACATAATGAGTTAGTGAAGTAAAGGTGAATTTCTGAAGTGAAATTGGAATGTGATGGATGACATTGTTATACTTGTGTGCAGTTCCTGATCAAGAACAGCAGCAAAATGATGTGAAAAGGATTGATAACTGTGAAAGAAAAGTTTGGTTAATGTAGAAAAAATGAGACTTGAAAAGAATATAGATTTCTGTAGATCCTTGGTGAGAAGACTAAATGTTAACTGCAATAAACCCGGGGGAAAGTTAGGGGAAGAGGTAATAAATTTTAAATAATTGCCCAGTTTTTTATAAATAAGAATAGGGAAGATGAAAGAGTACCGAGTGGGAGGATGAAAGAGTACAGAGTGGGAGAAGTTTTTTTGAAAGGTGTGAATAGTATAATAAAAGGAAGGAATGTATTTGTATGAAAAATTAATGACACGAGTTGTTACTATTCCCAGACTGGAAAGGGGAACATGTATGGAGAGGGACAGTGTGTTTTAAGAGTTAAAGCAGTAGATTTTTGTTTTAAGTAGTCGTGGAATGGGTATATGGATGAGACAGTAGGTGTGGTATTAATGAAAGAGGTAAGAGAAAGATTGTGTAAAATGACCAGGTGCAGTATGCTTCCAGGTACAGTATGTCTAAAACTTATAAAATCCTTAATAAAAGATTCTACATTAAGTATTTGTACCTTGGTACTTTTTCTGCACTAGAGTAAAATATCTAATCATGCTAATTAGTGAGCAACATGGAAATGTAGACCTTGATTTACCCTATATCAAAGAGACTCAAAACGTGTTCAAATTTCAGGCCCTGTATCCCGGTCAGTGGAAATGCTGGAACAGATGATGGAAGCCGTTAACCCTTAAAGTGCGCATCACTTCATATGAAGTGTAAATCGTTTTACCAGTCAACTGCGCTTCACTTCATATGAAGTGTATGGGTACCGCGCACGATTTGAATGGCCCGCGGTGTAGCTGGGGGTCCCATACGCTGCCCAGGGGCTCTAGTAAACAGCGGCCATTTTGAAAAAAAATCCAGCTCACGCTCCGATGGCATGGGAGGCCTCAGTTTAGCGAGAGTCACCATGGCGAGCGCACGGTCAAACGCCTCACGAGCACGCATCACTCAGTCCCTCACCCCAGAGCAAATAGCCCACGAATTATTCTCTGAAGGTGAAGAAAGTGTGTTTGACGATTCAGACAACGATGAGGATTATACACAGTTGTCGGGAGATAGTAGCAGCAGCAGTGAAAGTGAAAATGACCGCCATGCCATGGCGAGGCCTATACGCTCTCCCATGCCTCCTCGCCCATTTTCTACCCCAATTCTACCACGACCTCACAGTTCCTGTGGATATTTTCTGTTTGAGGGTGACGAGTCAGAGGGAGGTGACTCCTTTTCTGGGTTTAGTGACTCAGATCAAAGTTTTATTGAGCCTGTGGCTGGTACCAGTGGTGTAACTGGGCGAGAAATTGTCGCGTCAGCAGCATCTCGCCCAGCCAAGCGCCACCGCATGGCACCACATGAGGGACCAAGACCCTCGTGTTCACGTGCATCCACCTCACGTGCATCCACCTCACGTGCATCCACCTCACGTGCATCCACCTCAAGTGCATCCACCTCACGTGCATCCACCTCACGTGCACCCACCTCACGTGCACCCACCTCACGTGCACGTAGCCGCCGTGCTTCTCGCAGACGGTATTCAGCTCCTGGTCGCCGGTATGCATCGCTTCCTCGCCGTCCTTCCTCTGCATCTCGCAGGACGCCTGGTATACTTGAGTGGAGTGATGGTGACGATTTTATTCCTAATATTCCTCAGTTTGACGATAAAGATGTAGGGATTACAAACCTTTTCCCTAATCAAGGTGAGGACATGGCTGAGATGGAATATTTTACAGCATTCTATGATGAACCACTCATGGAATACATTGTACACCAAACGAACCTGCATGCTGCTTACCTGATTGAGAGGGAAATCACAGAATTTTCACGACTGCAGCGTTGGAAAAATACCACAGTGGCGGAAATGTATGTGTTTTTGGCACTCTGTTTGTTGATGAAGCACTGTCACAAACATGCAATAAATGACTATTGGAGCAAGGACAAGACAATACCAACACCTTTATTCGGGAAATATATGTCACGAGACAGGTTTCAGATACTCCTCAGGTGTCTACATTTTGGAAGTGTTCAGGACCGAACACCTGATGATAGACTGTGGCGAGTGAGGCACTACATGAACGATGTTATTGGAAAATTCAGAGATTTTTACGTACCAGCACAGAAGCTGGTGGTTGATGAATCTCTCATACTTTTCAAGGGACGTGTTCCATTCAAACAGTACATTCCCTCAAAACGAAACCGATTTGGCCTGAAATTTTTTGTTCTTTGTGATTGTGAGACAGGATACGTGTTACACATGATTCTGTACTCGGCTAGTGATGTAGACATTCCCGGTAACGACGAACATGGATTCTCGGGGAGTGTAGTGAAGACCATCATGGCTCCGTGGATGAACAAGGGACACATTTTATACACAGATAATTACTATACAAGTCCCTTGCTAGCTCGGTTCTTGCTAGAAAATAGAACCGGATTGGTTGGTACAGTAAAGCCACAACGAAGGGAAATGCCTGTGTTTGACAACGACATTGCAGTTGGTGAGTGTCAGAGAAGGAAAAGTGATAACATTCTGTCAGTTCGGTGGAAAGACAAAAGAGAGGTGAACTTGTTGACAACAATTCATGATGGAACAATGGTGAACAGTGGGAAAGTGAGCCATAAAACAAACGCACCACTATATAAGCCAGACTGTGTTTTAGACTATAATATCAACATGCGGTTGATTGATAAATCAGACATGATGATTGGCACTGCAGAGTGTGTGCGGAAGACATGTAGGTGGACGAAAAAAGTGTTCTTCCATCTTGTGGACATGAGCATGCTGAACTGTTTCAACATGTACCTTGTGAGAACTGGACGTAAGCCCACTTTCCGTGACTTTGTATTTGATGCTGCAATACAGTTATTAGGAAAGTTTGCAAAAGATGTCCCAGGTATTCAGCGGCCCATCATAAACCCACTGTTGCAGCATGCTGGTACTCCACGCCTCGCTCACACTGAAGGCTTCCTAGCACACAAACTTAAGTATTTGCCACCTGGTGTGAAGCGTGCAATAGCCCAACGTGATTGCTTGGTGTGTAAAACAACGACACGTAGAGACAAGAAACGGAAGCTTGTGCAAACATGGTGTGAAACGTGTGGTATCCCATTATGTGCTGTCGACTGCTTCAATGACTACCACAGTCTAGAAATCTTCTAAGTGTGCTTCAAAGTGTGTATAGCGTGTGCCAGTGTGTAAATATGTAAACATATAAGCAGAACATATAATATAATAGACTGTAATGACATATTATATTGCCGTAATTGAAAACATTTGTGTGCGCCTGTGTATACTCAAATATGCAACAATTATTGATACAAAATATGTTCAAACAGTATGTGAAACACAATTAGTGAAAAAAAATTAGATAAAATGCGCTTAGACATTGTAAATAAATAGCGCGAAAATATATTTGTGGCAACTCTGGCTGTTTGAGGACCGCGCGCAACATCTCCCGGGCGTGTACTGCATGAGCGACCATGCAGATTGTGACGTCATCGCAGAGCTTCTCGGCTCTATTGCAACAAAAGTAAGTACAATAGAATTTTTTTTTTATTTTTCCCGTGATCAGTGAACAGAACTTAACAGATTAGCAAAAAAAAAAATTTTTTTTTTTTTTCAAAATGACATGCGCCTGTGTGGATAGCAGGATATTAGACCCCGAGCATGTTAAGGGTTAAAGCTGAAAACTGGTGGTGAAGTGAAGCTGACAACAGACAAGGAATGGTACGAGAAGTGTTCGGTTGATGTCGTCTACCTTGACTACGTTAACATCACCAAAGTTGTAAAGCCAAAGAACCGCATCTTTGTTGACGATGGTCTCATTTCTCTCGTTGCTAAAGAAATAGGTTTGTAGTGAATATCTTTCCTGTAGTTAAATGGTTGAAGATATTGTAGTGCGGTAAGTTAATTTTTTGTATAGTCTTTAACCCTTGAACTTCACCACTGTTTATATGAAACGCATCCTTGATTGGCAAGAAAAAATTCCTCCAATTTTGCTTCTTCAAATACATTGTTAAAATTGGGTTCCTGATCACGGAAAAAATATTTTGTTAATTTGGCCATGGAGGAGTGAGGGGAGTCTTGTGATGTCACCATTCAGGGAAAAACAAATGAACACTTGAGACAAAATTTTTTATTTTTACTTGCACCTGGCGGTGTTCAGCCAGGTGCTTGCCTAAAAAGGTGCTTGCCTATTAAGGCAAGCACATTTTAAGGGTTAAATCTTGCATGGTACTCTTAAAACTTCTCCCACACTGTTGCAGTGTGATCATAAATGGCAGGACCATTATTAATTTTCATGTGAATTTGAAGGGTTAATGCATTTCTCAATCTAGTCTCCATTCTTTTTTCCCCAATTTAAATTTTACAAGATAACATGAGACATTCCTATAGGCTCTACTATACAGAAAATTCAAAGTGGCATTCCTCATTTTGAGCCTTCTTGCAACTCTATCTCATTAATTTCTTATCTGATTAATACAATTTTGGAAGATTGAGGACAGTATACCTGAAATGGCCTTCATTGTCAATAACTATTTTTTTTTATGGATTTAACAGGTGACACGTATTAAATTGACCTCCTTTTATTAACAGGAAGTGACTACATAGTGTGTGAAATTGAAAATGGCGGTATGCTTGGGAGCAAGAAGGGTGTGAACTTGCCAGGCGTTCCAGTCGATCTTCCTGCCGTGTCGGAAAAAGACCGAGGTGACCTGTTACTTGGTGTCAAGATGGGTGTCGACATGGTGTTTGCTTCCTTCATCCGTGATGCTGCTGGCGTGCGGGAGATAAGGAACGTCCTGGGTATGTTGCATCTCGACACAATTTTTAGTTTAAATATTTAGGAGAGGCTAAAACCTTCCTTAGTGTACTGTATTAGTAGTAGGCATCCATCAGTCTCGGGAGACTATGGAGTTGCTTGCTGGTTGTCAGTCTGGAGTGGCCTCACCAGGGCGCAAACTGTTCTACTCTGCACTGCTAAAATCAGACGTAAATTTGTCAAGGGATTTTAGACAGCAGAGCAGAGTAGAACAGTTTGGTAGAACCCTAGTTAGTTTAGGTCATAAATTGTCTTTAAAAATGAATGAATGTTGTAATGTATCTGCCAATAATGTCATTAAATAGTACCTCTATTACTGTCCCACCCCCTTCCCCTAAAAGTAATTTAAAATAAAGTTGACAAGAGTTTACATACTTTATGCATAATTTAATTTAATTTGGTATTCTCTCATAATTATACATTTTGGCTCTACATTTCTAAACCGAAAATATAAATTAAACTTGTCTGACAATAAAACTTCTTTATTAACCCTGCAGTTGATACTGTGGCTGCCAGCTATAGGTGCAATTGTTTAAATTTAGTTCTTATTTGAAAAGCTTAAAATGTGGGGAAATGTAGGAGAATTTGTTTCTATGGATATTTACAAAATTTCAGTTTTGTATGATCCTGATGATTGGAACAAATGTCCCTACTAAAATAGGGGATGTCTCTTAAGAAGATATTTTGCAAACAATTATAGATATACGCAATTTGGTTACAATCTTATGTGCTCCAAAATTCTTAATGGCTTTTACCAAGGTCACAGATGCCATTTACGTTTTGTACATTTACTTTATCAGTAAAAAAAAATGTAATGGTCTTTGCACTTTTGTCATTGAGGTTGACTAATAAGCTGCTTCTTGGTTTCAGGAGATGAAGGAAAGAATATAAAGATTATTAGCAAGATTGAGAATCACCAAGGTTGCAAGAACATTGATTCCATTATCGAAGAAGGTGATGGCATCATGATTGCCCGTGGTGACTTGGGTATTGAAATTCCTGCCGAGAAGGTTTTCATTGCACAAAAGCAAATGCTTGCAAAGTGTAACAAGGTAAGAATATATTCCTAGTAGGGATATTTTATCTTGTATTTTTCAGTAATGTTCATATCTGGAGAATACCTGTGTACTAGCTTTAAGTATATAGACTTTCTGTATAGTGGTGCAAGGAAGGTTTAATTATAAAGCCATGTAACCCTCCGTTTCTAGTTAGACTTCAGTCTGTAAATACTGTACAAGACGTCTGTAGAATAGACTGAAGCCAAATAATGTTAAAGAATGGTTCTACTGTAATTAGTAATGACTATATACTTCAGGAATACATGAAACTTCAAAGGTTATAGCCTTGTGATGAAAATAACGTCGGTAGAAATGTGGTACAGTATATGTGTATGATCAAAACGGAAAAGATCTTGAGCCACTCAATTATGCCATTGTGCATTTTAGAGATGACCACGGAGAGAGTTAAAACTGAGAGCTGGGAAAGGACACTGGCACAATCCCAAATTGAAGATTGGTAAAAAATATAGGTGTTTAGTTAACCCGATTCAAGGCAAGATTGATATTTGGGTAATATTTTCAATGTGAATTTTGACAATTTTGTTTGTTTTTCTAGGTTGGGAAGCCAGTGATTTGTGCCACTCAGATGTTGGAGTCCATGGTAAAGAAGCCAAGACCAACCCGTGCTGAAGTATCTGATGTAGGTAATGCCATCATGGATGGAGCGGACTGTGTCATGTTGTCAGGAGAGACCGCCAAGGGAGACTACCCACTGGTGTGCGTGCGAACAATGGCTAATATTGCAAGAGAAGCTGAGGCTGCTTTGTGGCATAAGCAACTCTTCATTGAACTCTCACAACAGGTAGAGAACATGTTTGTATACAAAATTAGGTATACTTCAAATCTTCAACATTCTTCTATTGTTGCAGCATATAATCACAAGCAAACTTTACCAGGACATTCACGGGAAAACATTCGGGAAATCCGTGTAGCTGCCTTTTACTGCTTCCTTATAGTTGCCATATATTGAGCCTTGGTTTCTTATTTTACATTATTTCATACTCTTAATCCAGGGTTGTTAAAAATGTTTTATTTAAAACCCTACCTGCCCAGGTTTCATGTAAAGAACTGAGTAAAACTCGGATTATTAACGTCTCTTTAATTTTTATGTATTACTGAATATATTTTTATTTATTTTTACATAATTCGGTGTTTTATAAAATAACGTGTACTGTACTACACAATGAGGGACTGCAGTATAGTATACTTGTTTTCAAGTACTGGTACAGTAAGCTGTAAATTTAATGCATTACAGTATGGTTATCTTGTATAATTTATTACACTGTAACAATGGTACAAATTCTTAGTTTTTTACCAAACCAGTACATTAGATATAAATAGAAATAAGCATGTTGGCCAATAGTAAAGTGCATTTTTTTTTTTTAACATGTCTAGGTTTATAAATATAAATTTTTAAAATTCAATTTGTTTTTAATATATATTTAATACTAAAATAAAAACCTGTACTGGGTGGGTAAATGGGTAGCTACCGATGCCAATCCTGCTATAACTTAAATATAACCAAATAATTTCCCAAATGTTAAATCTTAATTTACTGACATTGTACCCTTACCATGACATGCATTTCCTATTCCACTATCTGATCCATGCAAGCTCTAAAATTTAGAAATCTAAAATGTAAATGACCAAAAATCTGGTATTTGCTGTTTGGTACTTTTTCAATCACTTCTGCCAACGATTAGACTCCTGAACTCCGTAGAATAATGCCTCGATAATTTTGATTCGCAAGTTTACCCCTTTCACATAAAGGTAAAATTGCAGTCTGGCACAGTATCACTTTCCTATGATTTTTGGCCAATTTTTCACAAATTACATTCTGTATTTTAGAAAGTACATTCTGAAAGTCTGCAGCTTTCCTGTATTTTAAACTTGTGCATTGATGTGATTCTATTCCATGGAAATATATTTTTGCATTCTATCGTGTATTTTTTATTGCAGGTTTCCTTACCAACAGACTCGACGCATACAACAGCTATTGCAGCTGTAGAGGCTTCATTCAAAGCAATGGCATCTGCCATTATTGTCATCACCACTACTGGCCGCTCTTCTCATTTAGTTTCTAAGTACCGGCCACGCTGCCCAATCATGGCTGTTACACGCTTCCCCCAAGTTGCTAGACAGTGCCACCTTTACCGTGGTATTATTCCCGTTCACTACACAGGTAAGCTTTGTTCGTGCATTTGTTCCATCAGAACCTAAACATACATTTTTTAATTTGAATTTATTACAAAATAGGTTTCATGAAGATGGTAGCATCAAAGTGGAATTAATGTTTTTTTTACTTTTTTATATTTAAATCCTATTGTCAATATTGTATCCTACGATTTATTTAATCTTTCCTTCTTCTTCGCCTGTAATCCAGTGCCTCAAAAGGGTATGTAGGTTTGAGTGACATACATACATTTTGGTTTTTAAAGTGTGCTCATATAATTTACCCTAGTTTATATTAATTTGCTTGCCACTTGGTTCTATTTTTGTGCTTTTAGTAACCTCAACTTTAATGTTGTCACATTGAGCACTACCCCCCACGTACCTGGCACTGAGACAAGTGTGGCTTTCTTTTGTCTTAATCCCTGTACATTAATTCACTCTGATCTGCCAGATTAAATTAAGTTTTAATCCAGCAGATAGGAAATGGTGTGCTTTAAGTGTTTCGAGAGATATATTTATATATATATATATATATATATATATATATAGTAAGAAACAAATATGGCTATGTTGCAAAGGGAATAGAAAAGTTTAATATATTAAAGGCTTGTGAAAATACCACTTAATTGATGGTGGTTATGGCAAGATTAATGGTGCAGCATTGCCAGACAACTCGTGTAATCTTGTCCCTGAGCACTTTGAGAGGCAAGGATTTGTCCTGCTTTAAATAGGAATGAAGTTCATGTTTTTTTATGTCTTTGATAGCTTGTGCATTCTAATGTCTTAAATGGCTTACTAATACAATGTTACATGGCTGTTACTGCAGCAATTTTTCTTAAGGTCATTATAAAGTATTTACAGGTAATGTTGGTGCATGATCCCAGACCAAATGTGATTTGACAATTTTTAATAATAGTGGTGTGAGGGTTTATGAAATAAATGCTTGCCCAGTGTAGTGATTTATTTTGGAAATAATTGTAATATTAATAGTTTAGTAGTTTGGTAGGTGATGTATTTCTAATATGCCGAGATGCCAACTGTCTTCTTGTATTTCCTCTGGCAAGACTAAACCTCTTGGGAATGAATGCTAAAAAGTTATTTGGGATTATATTTTGAAAATCCATTTGTTAGTAATTACTAGCCTTGGTATCAGAATACTTTTTTTTTTCAATTGGTTTTTCTTCGGCTAGTCTTGCACTGCTGTGCCTCTCCGCGCTGACCAATTTTACGTACCTTTAGTTTGCCCTTGCTGAGAGTACACGTTTCTTTGCTTCTGCTATTAAAAGTATCCGAGAGGTATGCTTTTGTGTGATGAGCAAATTTGAGAGATGCTTGACAAATTAGGAAAGAGTAGGAAGAGATTTCAAATAAATGTTAAAAAATATTCCCAAATTAGACTAGAGGAAATGGGCAATACAATGGGATAGAACTTCTCTCTTTACTCTGGTTTCTACCAAAATGACTGGGTTGATATTTTGGCCTGTGTGTTTTGGCAGTCATGGTTCTACTGGCCTGATAATTTGATGATGTTCCTGGTTCCAGTTGATCATGTTTCTCTGGGCTGTCTTCCAGTCTGGTTTCTCTTCATTTTGGTACCTTCTACCTCTTCCTGGTAAATTCAGTGTGTTCACGGTTGGTTAGCTTCAGGGGTTCTCAAAAACGACTTCGAGTGTAATCAAATCTTTCCGACTAGAAAGAGTTCCTCTTTCTGGTCGGGTCCCTGGTGGCTTCCTGATTCCCTCTAGGTTCATTGGTCATGGGTCATGAATTGAGTAATGGATGGCACATCTATAGAAATTGTCAGGGAACTTGGTTTGGGTTAGTCTTCATGGTTGGGATGTGTCTCAAGCTGAGCAAGATGGTGCCAAGCAAAACTGCACTGGAAAACTGAGATTGCCAGACATGAACTGGATGTTTATTTTTGCATTCTTTCTTTTGAGTTTTCGGTATTTCACATGGAAAAAATAAATGGTTTGGTCTTGACCACCATTGTAACAAAATGCTGACAAATGCAAAGAGGAATGTTGACCATTGCTTGGGCCAAAATAGAGGTAGATATTTTGTATTTTTATTCTACTGAATACAGAAGTATTCACAAGCCAAGGTTGTTTTTAGGATCTTTGTATTGTATACTTGGTAAAATTTCGTAGATTACTTGATGGAACACATTTGGTGGGCTTTCTCCATTTAATACATGGTTTAAAATTGTTAAATTAAGAGTTCATGACTGGCGAACCATTGAAATAAAGGAATTGACTCGCAGCTCATAAATAAGTAACTTTAATATAAATGTTCCAATTTCCTGGCTTCTATTTCCTGACTTCCTATCCCTCCTTCCCCAAAACAGTAGTTTGGATAATTTAGAACTGCTGATTCTAGTTTCAATGTTCCTACCCCATTTTACATTTTAAATACTTTTCATAGGTGTGTGTGTTGGTTATTTTCTATAAATCCTGGCACATACCAACTGAATGCTGGTAAAGTTGAGCAAAGTTAAGCCATCAATCTGGTAACATTTTAGCCATATAATTAATGAATCTGGCAATCACTGGTCCAAACTATTTCTGACTGAATTAGAAGTTTCACATATGCAGTGACAGTCCATTCTAGGAAAATTAGGAGCTTAGTTCTGGCACCGCCATGCCTTGGCTTAACATATTAGGTTTTGGAGATCCATCAGATGCCTACTGGGAGCCAGAATCTGGCTCTGTTTAAAAGATGATGGAAGCGGGGGATAAGAACCTTCCACAACTGGAGAATACTAAACGTAAAGCATACCTACGATGAAATGAGTGATTTAACACTTTGGTGCACCCCGTTCGCCACCCCTCAACTGTGCGATATGGGACCCAGGGTGTTACGGGAGTGTGCGTAAAATCTGAAAAGTGTATACTCTCCAACTTTGTCACCTTAATTCTCGTCCTACGAGATTAAGTTTGGTATCATTGTGTTCGCAATAGAATTCTCTACAGCACTAAATGCATATAAACTCCAAAAGCCCTGCTAATTACCCGCAGCAAACAAAGTGCGAACGAGTTACTCAGGAGCGCGCAAACGTGATAAAATGTTTTCACTATTTTCACTCTGCTCACCTCAATTTTTATCCTAGGTCTTTCATTTTGGTCTCAATGGGTTCGCAATAGAATTCTCTAGAGGAACATTAGCATATCGAATAAAAAACCTGGTCACGCTCCAACCGCCGACGAGTTGAAGACGGGCCACGCGTTAGACGCGAGTGAGTGCTCAGCCGCCTTCCACCTACACTCCCAATTCCCACCCTTTTCAAGCCTTTCTTTCCCAATTTTCTTCCTGGAAGGGCCTTGTTCATGATCACTATCCATCGTGGAGTAAGCGTAGATAGTTTCTAAAGCCACAGTAAGAAATATAGCCACGGAAAATAGGCGAAATGTTCACACGTTTGAGATGCGAGGGGAGGTGACATTGGTCACAACAGTGGAGCGAAAGCAATGGGCCCACGGCATGTGCCAAGCCGCCTGAGGGCCACGAGGCTCAACAAGGAAAATGGGAAGACATCGGCGCGCATTTTAAAACCAGTCCCAAAAAAATTGGATAAAAACCTGATTTTTGGCGATTATTTAAAGTGGATGACTATTATATAGACTGTGGGTTGGTTGGTGTTGTCGTCGTTGATCCTTCTCTATGGACAACCCAACCCACAACTCGGCAGAGTGCTTATACTAGGAGATCACCCTTGGCGCTTCTGGCTCTTGGAGAGGGGCTCAACGTCACACGTTCAGGGGATGCGGCTCCAACACTTAGCCTCGTTGTCACGTGCACACACCCACTCGAGCCGCTGTGACTCCCCACTCTCTCCTTATGAGATATGATCTCCTCAATCCCCCTATGACTTACCAGTATTACCTCCTACCCTGTCCACAGCAGTGGTTCATGGTTCTTCCTCTCTCTCTCTCCTTCTTTACTACCTCCTGGGAAGCCTCACTAGGACAAGGGCAAACACCAGCAAATTGTAACACATTTACTGAACAAAGCACATACACGATACATACACACATCTAATAATAATGAATCCTATACTCTATAATATCCAAATCAGGTTGCACTCCAATACCATCAGAACTCTATTATCAGCTTATCAAGTGGTATCCCAACTCCTGGTTCACCACCTGGTACTATTAACCTCCTCAAGTTGGTCAAGCCTACACACTGTTGCACCATCAGCAAGATAACATATATATGTAGAAAACCAGCATTTGAATGCAATAACATATACCAGTATAAATGTTCATTGATACTTCAATATAAGAAACTCCTTGACATAAGGATGCCAACAGTCACTCACCTCTCACTGCGTCTTGCACGCTACTGACAACCAAACACTATCAACTCCCTATAAGTAATCCACCAGAACTTCCCCTTCCACCTTTGGAAGTTCACAACCCTAATATCCTTAGGTTCTTCCGGGCTTCACTACCAGGATCCTCTGCAGCTCCTCCAGGCTGCTATCATGAAGTTTCCTTGTGCAACTACGGTGCTTCACCCTTCTGTTAGGTTCTTCCACAGCTCTCTTGGCTGCTACACCACCTCTACAGAAGCACGTGACACTCCTCTTCACTGCTGCTTCTCCTCACAGCTCGAGGTCCTCTGCTCCACTACCTTGGAGTCTCATCAGCTACTTCCTCTGCTGGCTTCGAAGTTCTCAGCAACTTCTTCCCCAAAGAACAAACCACAGATTAATTGGTCGAGGGCGCTTTCCCTCTGACGGCGTCTGGTCAGGGCGCTCCACACAGCCCACAATAATGCTTCTGGGCGATTTAATATCTGCTCGTCGACCAGGACTTGAGACCACAACGTTCCCAGCTCGATTCCACAGCTGGTACGTCCGCACACTTCTCTTCTCTTCGAGATATATCACTAGGGGTTCCCTTCTGGCGGGAGCTCAAACGGAGCGCGGCTTCCCCCTGCGATGTCTGGCACTCAAGTGAGGTCAAGGTCCTCCGGAAGCGAGCCTCACGCCTCCAGCAAAGTGTCCACATCTCCTAGCCAGTCATTTATCTATTTTCTTCTGCATTGCCCATAATCTCAAACTGTTACACATATCCAACCAACTATTTTACATATGGATTATTACCTCAATTTCTGCTAGACCTTCTAATTAGGTCAGGCTTGCTGAATAACTCTCAAGAAGGGAGACTCGTTTCTCCTGTAGGCTGAGATCATAACAATGACGCAATGCTGCGTCATCCCCGGAATTACCGCCAGTAAACGGATGACGCAATGCTGCGTCATGCCCGGGCGAAAGTGTTAAGGAAGTGTGGCACCATGGGGAACACTACAAATGATCGTTGTTGCAGTTTAAAACATTAATCCTGTTGTACTCGAATTGCTAGCTAGTAGCACATGTTGCCATAGGTTCAAACTAGCTCGCTGCCTTTTGTTGGCCTGGTGTAGCCTATCTATACACATGTAATCTGCAGGGCCCATCATTGGCTTTTAACTTTGGCTAAGTGAATTTCTTTTTCCAAGACAGATTTTTCTGGGCAATGTTACATTTTTGTTTGTGCTCAACTGCATTTGTGCCATCAATGTTGTGTGGCCCTAGTATTCTATTTTGCTCACCGTGGACAAAATTCCTTAAATCCCACCAGATATTCTTGCTTAGAGGTGTTCCGAACGCTCTAAGGATTGGCTCAAATAACCACTTCTGGGCATTGCACAATATTTATTAGTCTCCCACCCAAGCACTGTTGCTTGGGAAGGGAAAGGAGGGGTGTGGAAGAGTTTTTCTGGCTTAAAAAGATTGCTTAGAGATTCACATTCTTTGCTAGGACTCGTACTCTGGCGGGGAGGGTGCACTCTGTTGTGTATGCAATTTCTTTATCCATGGCTGCTTGTGACCTCACTCATGACGTATTCAAGGTTTGGGTTCAGTGTTTGGTTTTCCTCCAAAAGTGATTTTGCTGCATGTGCCCACCTGCCTATGATGGTTCACGTAGCAAGATTACCTTGTACTTGTGGAGATTGTCCTGTATGGTTTGTAGTTGGTTATGGCAGGGTCATTGGGGTAGCCAGGGGTGGGTCACTGGCTGCTGTCTTTGGTGTTCCTGGCCTCGAAGGTTTGTCATTCCCTATAAGCCTGCTCACTTGGGCTGTCTGTGTGATGCATTCTCTTCCTGTGGGTGTACATTTTCAGGGCTCTGTTAAGAGGCCTAGCTAGGGTTCCCCATTTTCCCCCTCCATACCCCTTTTCTGTTTGTGTGGCTGTCAATAGTTTCCCTATTTGCTCCTGCAGACTCCCACAATGTTGAGATGCGGCAGCTCAATGTCCAGGTGTCCCTTTTGCCCCTTGGCATTGGTGGTGACATCTGCTTGGAGATTGTTCCTATGCATTACTAGTTTTCTCCTGCCAGTTTTGGTTAAATCTTTTCCCTTATAGAGCTGCCTTTGTCCTCTTGCTTTCTTTTGCCGAGTCCACAGATGCTATTCCAAAGTTTGCTCCCACAGGATGCAGTCGATCTTTATGGCTTATTATGCCTGTCAATTTTGATTTGGGTTTGTTCCACGAGTCCAACACAGTCCCAAGTTCTCAAGGTGGTATAGAACAACTTTGTTAGCTTCCCTTGATCTTTGGGATGTCTATTGACACATCCCTATCCATCTGAAGGTGTCCCTTCTGAATCCCAGCCAATGTATCACTTTCATGTTTTGATTTTTGGTTTATGGTCTGATGCTGGTGCCCAGAATTTCTTTGACTGATTTTCATGGCCTATAATCTTCTTGGGATCCACATTCTGGGCTATCTTAACTGGTTTGGTTGGAACACTCCAATTGTTCAGCCTTTCTGCTGCTTGGGAATCTGTTTTTCCAGTTTTCCTGCTTCACATTAAAAGTAAACCAAGTTTTTCTGGACGAGTCTCTGGTGGCTCACTGATATAGCTTCCTACTAGTCACACATCAGCCATAAATCCTTTGTCCTACTGGAGACCAGAACCATAACCTAGCCCCCTGCATAGGTGCAGGGAATGGGATTGTTACAATAGCCCTTGCCAAGAAAACTTTCAGAGTAAGTGAAGGAATAGAGAGAACTGAAAGGTCCTCGGAAAATAAAGTACTGAAATGTCTTAAAGACTTGCAAACAGTTTGCTCAGATCCAAATGATTAGCTGGTAACTAGCTTGAGCTACCTGGTCCGAATGACCACCAACAGTTGGCACCTCCTGAGAGCTCCAGGCACAGCAGCAAGTCACTGATGTCAGACCTTGCAGTTGCTTGCTGTAGGTAATCACTGGAACTGCCCTTTGGAAGCCATTTGCTCCTATCTCTTAGTAGTTGCTTCATGTGAATACAAGCTGTGCTTGTTGTGTGGGCTTAGTTTAGAGGTCTTGGATGGGACCTTTGGTTACCTGACCGTCTGGTGGCAGTACCTGGAGCTCTTCTGCTCACCAAGCCTGGCCTGGGGTCAGGATTGACAGCAGTGCCTAAAGACTAGGGTATTTAACCCTTTCACTTTGCAAATGGTATAATTCACTATGTGGTGCATGCTCACTTATGTTTTTAGTACTTTGCAATGTTTGAAACTTGTGTTGGTACACTCCCCAACCCTGTCACCTCCCAATCAGTATTTTAGGCTTCTAGTAAGTGTCTGCCGTTTTGAAAGTGACAGGATTTTTGGCATATTGTTCATATGTTTTTTTTTTTTTTTTTTTTTTTTGTCGGTACTGATTTTCTGTGCACTTGTGCCACTTAACACTATCGCCGACGCCATGCGCGCTCGGCAAACTTTGACGTCTTGGGGCCAATGGTGCGGGCAAGCGTGCGGCGACACCTAAATGTGTATACTCTTTTTAGTTTTCTCACCTTAATTCTCGTGCTACATCGTTCGTTTTGTTATCATTGAGTTCACAATTAAATTCCCTGCAGATGTATATGCATATAATGTCCAAAAGCCTGGCGAGACCCCCTGCAACAAAGCCTAAAGTTACCCGTGAACGAGCACCAATTTGCACACCACAACCTAATGTGTATACTCGTTCAATTTGATAACATCAATTTTCATGTTACATTGCTTGTTTTGGTATCAAATTGTTCACAAAATAAAGGCGCGCATTTTAGAACTAGTCCCATAATAATAGAGCAATAACTGGAATTTTAACAAATACTTTAATTTTGGATGCTCATCATCAAAATTATTTGTATATTTCTAGTGATCTGACATAAAATTTCATGTTACATCGCTCGTTTTGGTATAAAATTGTTCGCAATATAAAGGCGCGCATTTTAAAACTAGTCTCATAATAATAGCACAATAAATAGAATTTTAACATTTTAAAATTTAGACCCAAAAACGTATTTATAATCTTTAAAGAGTTCTGACATAAAGTTTCGTGTTACATCTTTCATTTTGGTATCAAATTGTGCGCATTCTAAATGTGCTTATTTTGAAACTATCCCGAGGTCGATCGGATAAAAAATGATTTTTATACAAATATTTTTGTAGTGGACGCATGTCCTGTCCACGGGTAGGACTCTGGAGAAAAAAAATGGACGCAAGTCATGTCAAAGAGAACGATAGTGTTAAGTTAACCCTCTACATTGTCCCAGGGTTAATGTGCAGTAACACTGCCTTTCTCTGGCTGCCTAATTCAATAAAGTGGTCCCTTGTTCAATTGATGCTTTCTGGCAAGGGATTCAGTTTTGTGATTTGGATTCCCAGCTCCCTTTGCTATTCTTGCCCATTGCCCCAATTCTGCTCCTGGCTTTCAGTAGGCAACAAACTGCACTTGGTGGCCTGGTAGTGTGTGTGTGTGTGTGTGTGTGGCATAGGTTTGGTGGTACCAGAGCTAAGCTTTGAACTACTGTACTGGGATGGCCCGTTGGAAATTCAGATTAAATAGCATTTTCAATTTTGTTGGTGACTACAGATAAATTATTTAAATGTTCTAAAAGTTTCAGAAGGTATCTCTATTTCTAGCTATATATATATATTTATATATATACACACACAAAGTTCAGTGAAATGTTTAATTGGTCTTTTTGTTTTGCTGCATGCAGAAGAGGAGGATGGTATGTGTAAAGCAATCTTTATTTATTATTTTAGCATCTTGGTTTGAAAGAGCTTTCATTATGTATTTAAAGTGTGTTAAAGGGCTATCTATGCTTAGCACTTTGCTGAGTAAAGCAAAGTTTCCCTCATTATTGTAAATATCCTATGGTGTACTAAAAGTTGTACAAACATTACTGTAGTGTTATGAGATGACAGATTACCACCCCATGCTTGCTAGCTAATATTAGTAAAAAAGGGTAAGACTTCTTGTTAAGAGATACTAGTTTTAATTTGATACTTTTGACGATAGAGGTAGACATTGAATACTAGGACTCCTTTCGCTCACAATAGGCCCTTCGTTTACAGTTCCAATTATTTAAGTGTATTGGGATATGTGACAGTGTAAAATGACCTGTAAACTCTTAGTCTGGCTACTGAATTTTAAACTCTGCCTTAAAATTTGCATTTTTCAATGTGTAAAGGACCAAAGCTGGATAGATTTGAGTTAGCTTCAATAATTGGGAGAGTAGAGTTGGGAGCAGACATGGATTCCTAAACTGTTATGTACCTGTACTAGCAAAATAACTTCATGTCCCAAATTGACTTCAGAAAGACACCCAAGTGCTATCTATGTACAGTGAACTAACTATAGACCCCACTTTTGTGTACATTGCCTTAAAAATAACTTTTTTGTACTGTACTGACAGTTGTGCAGTAAACAAACATTAAAGGTAGAGAAAGGCAAGGAACTTTTTTTTTTAAAAGGATTCGTGTTTTGTAAATTGTTGATTAGCTTTAAAAATGTCCTCTGGGACATGTACATTGAGGAAGAAGACTAATGCATTCATAAGCTTAAAAATTGAAGGATAGAGGGGGGAAACTGGTTGATGGGTGTTTGAAAGTCGGTAAAAGAAAGTTTCGTTGCAAAGTAAATGCCTCGAGTCATAATCCTGGTGGAAGTTTTCAAAAGCTGTGGCACTCTAGACTACATAGTTTTCTTGGCATAAATCATTATTTCCCCATTTGTCAGCTGTCATTTACCTTACTTCCTCTGACTGCTACCCATAGGTGTTAGTGAAGAAATGTCCAAAACATTTTCTAAAATGCTATGTAAACAGCACAAATTGGTACAGATAAAACTGGACCAAGGGAGCAGTTAGTACGTCCCAGGGTCAGTGTTCCCATTTAAAAAAAGACAATTGGGCTGCTAAGTGGAAGTGTCCCAAAGTCAGCTGCATAATGCCCCAACTTGCCAGCAACTAAAGGGTAAAGTTGTCATTATCGGTACTCTCATTAATGCAAAACTATGCTATTTATGGCAGCCTGGGTGACATTTAGGAAATTTTTAATATTGTGACAAACGGTGCTAAATATCATCTTGTCCAGCCTTGTCTTTTATTAATTATTAGTCATTTAAATTTGTTCCTTGGCATGCACTCGTCTCCCCTCAGTTTCTGGTCTGATCATGTGCAGTACTGGTATACTTGTTGTCTAGTCCATACATTTGTATTGGCTAATACATATTCAATTTTACTGCTTTTAGTTGCTGTGTATATGGGGCAAACCTTGTAAAAGACGAGCTTTGTAAAGTGAAATGGTACAATTGGGGAAGGGGGGGGGGGAGTCTGGTGATGTGATGTTGATCTGAAGCTTGAAATTCTAAAAGTCCAAGACTTCACCATCTCAATGATGAGCTACTGGAAATGTGTATGCAATGTTGAATTTAAGAATTGCAGACTTTGTAGAATTGGGTAAAAAATTAAATGCTGTAGGGTTTGTCATGTTTATAAATTATCTTTTTAAATATTTTATATTAAATCTTGTAACATTCTTTATCTGTGTATACAGACCTTTTTTTATTTTATACTGCATGCCTAGTTTACGGTTTAAAAAAAAAAATTTAAGTGTTATCTTTAGGAAACTAGTTAAAAGGTTATGAAATCAAATATTAGTGAAACAATAATTGAACTTTTCAATCACGTGTAATAAATTTAATGTTAAGACTTTAATGAAAACTAAACACTGTACTGTACTAATGTTTTTAGTCACCGTACCCAGTTTGAGAATTTCATTTATATTTTCAGCTGATCATCTGCAAGACTGGATGGACGATGTTAATGCTCGTGTCGATTATGCTGTTGGATATGGCAAGGAACGTGGCTTCATCAAGACTGGCGACCCTGTTGTGGTAGTCACCGGATGGCAGAAGGGAGCTGGCTTTACAAATACCATGCGCGTTTTGTACGTAAAGTAATTTATTTGGCCAATTATGGAGGGTGGGGGGGAAACTGTTCTTATGCTAGTGTGGGTTCCTAGGTAGTGGCAAACATTGGCCATATAAGTCAAATGCTTCATCTTGAGCTATGCACCCTGACATTGTCACTGCAAGTGTTGTGTTGCAAGTAGTATGTTGGTGTGCTAATTGCTTGGTTAATGGAATGGTGATAAAATGAATTAAAATTGGGTATGCGCGAGAGACGAGATTTTTTTTGGGTAATGGTGTGATGGTGACAGTGGATGTAAACATGTTCTGGCAAATAAATGCCAAGCCAGAGATTTAAAAAGCTTGAAGATGTATGAATGTACATACTCATTTGTGTAGGTGTGTAATTGTGTGACGATTCTTTTGCATCACTGCTTTAGAATGACTGTACTGTACTCGCTGTGGTAATTAACTGTTGGGTGTGTGCACTTGTACTAACACTGTTTCTCCTGTGTGTACCTTAATTTTCTTTTCAGGGTAAGAATTTATTACCAAATGGTGTACTGTATTTGCTTCAAATTTAAATTTTAAATTTTTTCAGTCAAGTATTTGTAAATTTTGCTATTGATGTCAAAGCCTTTGTGTAAGCAGTTAAGTATAGAAAATGTTTAAAATCTTGCTTAAATTTACATGGAGTATTATATATTGTTACAATATTCAATAATTTACTTCTATAAGGGCCTAATATCTACCATAACTGCCTTGGTAAATGTATGCATTTACCAACCAGTACCCATATATATATACTATTCACAGCCTAAGAGGAAAACTAGTCATTTTACTTGTAATCCAAAATGTCATTATTGTTGTCCTTGTATCTGTCTACAGCGCATAAAATGGTTTCTCTCGTAATTCATGGGGCCAGAAGGTGTGAATCTGCTTGATATTTATTACACATTTCTATACATGTACACAAGTTTGTATGTATAATTACTTGTTCATGCTGAATTTTGCATTGGGGAGTGCTTGGCTTGACTAATGCTGTTAATAGTGAATGTTTATAATGGGGCTGATTGCTGACTAGGGATGGTGTAGGTTTTCTGAAGTTTTTCAGAAGAGACAAAAAGTATTGATCATGAAGTTTTGAAATTTGTCCAAATAGATGTTCTTTTGATTTCAGTTTCTGCTGCAAGAAATAATATATATTCTTGCTTTATACATTATTTTGCCTCCATGTTATATACTAAATAATGTAAAGAAACTTCCTTGTATTGAGAATTTTTAGTTTAGAGAAAGGCCTATAGTAAAAATGTTCATCAGTGTCGCACTACCTGGGAAACACTTAGTTATTTGAGCTTGTAGAGATGTCTTGATACCAAATGACAACAAATTAAAAGTTGTTTTGGAATTACACTAGTCATCTGAACCAATAACTCATCATGGGTGAAGTATTATGTAGACATGTATGTATTTAAAGGATATGAAAGTAGCCTTTCTTGACATGAATTAATTATCCATGTCTATATGCTATCATTATTAAAAGAGATGAATAATTCAGAATAGTATTTTATCCCCAAAAGCTTTTGTCTTGCCGTTACCAGTACTACTTACACTACTTGTACATTTTTCTCAAGACAATTCACATAATGATCAAGAATTGTTAAAAGTGCAAATATAGACTTTAACTTTCATCTCAAAGATATTCCTCTGTGGCAGCCACCTTGATGTTGTAGGGCATAGGCAATTTGACTAAACCTGGCTCTATTGATGGGTGACTTTGTACACCCAGTAAGGCAGCATAGCAAACCTTTCATAGGAAGTGGTAATGAAACACTACTCTGAGCACTTTAATAGGGTTGTCTTTGTATCCACTGTGGAAGGGCCTGGAGGAGGGGGGAGAGCTGTTTTGCCATGGTGTGGGCAGGATCTTGTGGCTGTGAACTTGTTTAGTAGAGCTGATCTTTGAGAAGAGCACCCCTATACTGTCTACAATGGACCTCCAACCCCATCTCCCTTCCGATTCTTAAATGCGTAATAAAAATTGTACTATATAACTAGCAAAAATGGGTCCTAAAATTAAAATAAAACCATTGATAAAGTATTTTTATTGCAGATGTGGCAAAACAGACTTGAATTTGACATGATTATGAAGTGAGCCATATCTTTCAAATTAAAATACTGACCCAGTGTATGTGCCATAGTAAACGGTTCTAGATTTGTAACGCCTACCTCCCTTACCCCTCGAGAGTTTTATCTTGCCCCACACTCGTTCTTGAGGCCCCCCCCCCCCTCCAAGGTGGCAGACTGCCTAGCTGCGCATTGGTAAGACCCAGGTTTAGCTCTCTAAAACGGTACATTTAAATGCCTACATAGTCATCCTCCTGCTCCATGTTGCAACTGTGGACATGGGTTTTAAGGTTATACCAGTAAAACCATAGACTGCATGAAGATATTAGATACATCCTTGAAGCCTGCCCCTGTGGTATGGCAAACAGCCATACCATGCTAAGAACACTGCTTCTTGTCCGATCAGCAAAGTTAAGCAATGTTGGGTTTGTTGAGTACTTGGATGGGTGATCGCCTGGCAACACCAAATGCTGTTGACAATAATTTTTGGGCGCCTGACAGTTGAGTGGACAGTGCTTTGGATTCGTAGTCTGAGGTTCTGGGTTCGATTCCCGGTGGAGGCGGAGACAAACGGGCAAAAAGTTTTTCACTCTGGTGCCCCTGTTATCTAGCAGTAAATAGGTATCTGAGAGTTAAAGCTGCTACGGGCTGCTTCCTGGGAATGTGTAACAAAAAGGAGGCCTGGTCGAGGACCGGGATGCCAAGCCCTGAATTCATCTCCAGATAATCTCGAAGAAGCAGCCTAAGGTTATCCTATCCCTCAGGCTGATGCATTCACTGTCGCTTTGTGGTTGTCTGTCAATCTATTAATTGTCAAGATCATTTTTGATTGTTGGTACATTCTATTTTGAACAGCTCCTGCTGATGCTAAATGCTCCATCTAGGAATATCCCACTCCAAACCTCTGCCATAGTTGCTGGAAATGCAGGTATGGAACTTTTTCCATAAAAGTTTAGTAGTGAAGTCTCTCTTTGCTTCTTATGTGGTGGCTGACCACTCTAGGTGATGTCCACGCTCCCTTTCCCCAATTTTGTATGCATTATAAATTTGAACAAGCCAGTCTCAATCCGAAACAGATTGTAAATTTCCCTGAGACTAGGTGCCAAGTCTAATGTCTTGCCTCTTTTTCTGACTAGACACTGCATTGCACTCTTCTACCACACCCCTCTTCCCTTCCTCCGTTTCAAAAGTTTCAAAACCTTAACCCCACCACCTCCAGCTTCTTTCGCTCTGCTGCGATCCGAAACAGTGTTCCTCTAGTTTCAGCAGCCTATGGCCACCCTTCCCAGTCTTCCCTTGTCCTCTGTCACTTCTCCACCTCACTCATCTATATTTGAGCCCACTATGAGCCCCTTGGACTCAGAGCAGTCTTCCTCCTTAGGTATCCCCTCTGTTTTTTGGCCCTCTTCAGACTGACCATCTGGGCCAATATCTACCTTACTCTCGACCATACACGCCGTGCCTGCTCTTTCTTGCTGTCTGAAATGATACTCTCGCAGTACCTTGAAACCACACCTGTCGGTCAGTAATGTAAACTTGGTTCCTCTCCTTCCACTTGGGCTGGACGGTAGAGCGTCTGTCTCGCTTCATGCAAGTCGGTGTTCAATTCCCAACTGTCCAAATGGTTGGGCACCATTGTTTTTCCCCCCATCCCATCCATATCCTTATTCTGATCCATTCAAAGTGCTATATACTGTAGTCATAATGGCTTGGTGCATTACCTTGATAATTCCCTCCTTCCCTGAAGGGAAAGAAGGCCCCAGCCCTCACCTTAACCCTTAAACCACATAAAACATACATATACGATTCGACATAACTAAAGTCTTTCAAACTTGCACAAAAACTTTCCAGATTTTGTGCATAATCACTAGGCAAATGCTCCAACTTTGTCCAAATGATCACAACATAACTTGAAAAACAAGAAAATAAAAAATAATTTTAAAATTGAATATTGAAAACTTCTGATATTCAAATCAGATTAAAAAATATAAACTATCAACAATTGTTCATTTGGTGTTGTTATGCTCAGAATAGCATATGATTTTCATTTTCATCCAATTAGAATACAGTATAGGTTTTCATTATAGTTTACTGTAAAAGTGGTTAATATAGCATTTGAAATATGCGGCAAATTTAGACCAAAAATAAATTGCAACTCCAAACGTATAGGGTTTACGAAAAATCCATTCTGAAGGGATTGTAGAACACAGCCAAGCACAGTCAAAATGGTGAGAATTGGTCAAACTGGAATTCGCTGGACCACTCAAAATTAAAACTCTAGTTTCAGAAATAATTGAAGTTGAAGTTCTCGACAATGAATAGAGGTAGTTCTAATTCGTTAATTAACCATTAAGTTAATGGTATGTTTTAATAAACGTTGTTTGGCATTCGTACTCGAATATGTAATATCTAGTAGAAATCCAGTTGTATGACTTTTCTAAGCAAGCAGTGGTGTAATGGTAGACTATGTGGCTTGGCAATGTCAGAGTCGTAGGTTAGTGTCCTCCTCACAGCCCTAGTGGATTTTATCATCATCCCACCTCTTTCCTCTCAATGTGGCCTTTGCAAGTGTTGCACCATGACTAATCTTTTTGGACTTGGTCTATATTGACACTGCTTTTGCTGCAAATATACATCCTTTGTAACCATTGTTTTTGACCTGGAAATATTTCAGCCCAGCTGCATTCTTTTGGCCATTGTGGGAACTCCCACTTTTCCTTCAAATATTCCTCTGTTTAAAGTGAAGCTTTGTACCATTTTCTAGACAATTTTTAGGAATGGAACACCCCAAAGAAGTGTTCAGAGTACTACCATCTGGTTGCCCCAAATCTTCCTTACCCCCTGCACTTTTTTTCTCTACCTCCAATTTGCCATCAATAGTGTCATTTTGTGCCACCAGTCATGGGTTCAAGTTTTCTCCAATTAAGACTTGACCTATGACTTGCATGCACTTGAAGGCATGTCATTCCTCACTGTGTCTATGGAAATCACCTTCTATACAAGGATAATGCTGAATTCCTGGGAGGTTGATCATTTGTCTTGGTTACCCCATGGGTTTCTCCTCCAAATTAAATGCTCCTGTACTTCCTAGGAAGCAGATAGATGCTCTTATCTCTATTTGCACTCCTCTTTCATGCTGTCAGAATTCAATTGTGGCTGCCTTGCTTATTCCTCTGTGTCTCCCTAGACCCTTTGTCTTGTTGCTTTGCATCATATTGGGTTATGCTTCTTGGTTTAGCATCTTTCATTTGTCCTCTATTCAGAGCTTGTTTGTTGAAACTCAGTCTTTACAGGATCATCTTGATCATTACTGCCTTCATTATCTTTCATAGTCCTTGCAAAATTCCCACTCCCACTTGTGCTGTGTCTTGAATACTGCTCCTCGGGAGTGACCTGTTCCCTCTTGCCACCTTCATTTACCTGCAAGAATGGCATGTACAACATTCTCTTGTGCACATTTGCAATATCACCCATCGTGGTGTTCCTTGTCATGCTCGTGATATTGTGCAAGGTTGTGATCCGCATGATGCAGACCTGTACCCCTCCTGTTATGAAATGACTCCCTTGAGCATTTTGTTTTACTTGCATTCCATTGTTCTGTTGACAAGTCTGCCAACAGTGTTGGTTACTTTGCACTTTCTCGGGTTCAACTTGTGTGTGAACCCGAAACTGGAGACTAGCATCTTCACAGCAAAGCTTTATGCAGTTTTGCATGCTCCTTATTTGCTGCTTTTTTAGGCTTCAATGTTCCTTTGTTATTGTGATTGAGTCACAGTGCCCATGGTTCTGGAGTTTTAACCCTGTACCACCATAGGATGCAATACTGAGACTGTGTTTTTCTTTAGCAAATTTTTCTAATCTTATTTTTAGTCAAATTTTTCTGGGTTTTTATCGATGTTAGTTTCCTTGAATGGACTTGAAGACAACACTGGTGATGAGGCCATTTGTATTTGTCCCGTTTCTTGAAAAACAATTCCTTGTAAATAGTCATTCATTCTGCAATGATCATCAAGGTCATTGCTCACTCATTACAAGTGACAATATATTCACTGTTAAGTGATCTATTTTTCTTTGGCCTTTCTCATACCAATGTAATAGACTGGGGAAAATGACATGCAACCTCGTCAGAACCAGTCGCAAGTGCTTAACTCCTGGGCACTTAGCATAAGAATGCCCTGCTCTTCATTGACTGAACTGAATTGACCCACTGTCGAGTTCCTCCTTGTAGGTTTTGATTTTTGGTATGATCGTATGTCTTGCTTTCCTAATGTTCCTTCAGGTTGTTTGTTCCTCTGTAGAATCCTTGGTGAATCGGATACCTCTGTCTCGTGCTTCATTATTTTGTTCTCATAAGTGTCTGAGGGTATTTATTGCTTTTTGAATATCCTGCGATGCAGATGGTGTCACAGATTCGTCCTGGCTTTGCTT